TTGCGCTCTTTGCTTCATTAACTCAAGCTCACACATTACATATCCTCCTTGTACCAACGATGAACATCTTCGCAAGCTAAACAGTCCGGTCGGAAAATCAACACGAAGTCTCTAAACGCTACCAAGCTTCTTGTCATTCCCCCGCCGCGTCCGTCCCAACCTACGCGAGACGAGCAGCATTCCGAACATCACCATTAGCACCACCGCAGCAGCGGCCGCGTAGGGTGTTGCGTACCCAACCGTCCTAGAATCAAAGGTATCAGTACACGATTTCGAAGAAAAGCAAGGTGAGACGTACAGAGCTTTTTGCTCACGGATGGATGCAGGAAGCAGCAGCATGTCACGGTCAATACTGAGAGAGGCAAGTCAGTATATCGGTGTGTCGAACCGATTCAGATGCGCGTAGACTCACAGTTGACGGGGCGACGGTTGTACTGTACCGCTGCTGTGCGGTGCACTCGCAGATGGCGCGGGAGTAATCGTGCTAGAGATTGCTGCAGCCGTAGACGTAGATGAAGTCGCCTCGGGTGTGAGTGACAGCGTAATGTCGAACGATCTCGTCGCTTTTGGCTTCGACGAACGCGACGATGGCGGTACAGATGACGAAGATGCCTTGCTTTGAGCGGATGCAGAGGTTGAAGCAGAGGTAGAGGCGGACGCGCTTCGGGTCGTCTTCGCGCTCTTTGGAACCGATGCCGACACAGAGGGCGCCTCCGTCGGCTCTGGCTGGAACGACAGGTCGACGCTGAAGGAGGCTGATGGCTTTGGCTTTTCCTCTGACGCAGACTTGGACGCGGTTTGGGACGCAGATTTGGATGCGGATTGGGATGCAGACTTGCTCGCGGACTGAGAAGCAGAGTGTGACGCGGAAGAAGAAGGCTTGGAAACCGAGGACGTGGGCTTTGATTCCGAAGAGGTGGGTTTTGATGCCGAAACCGACTCAGACTTCGGATTATTGTTATTATTGTTGCCGGGGTCGCCTGGTGGAGGTTGGTCCCCACCACCACCAGACCCTCCACCTCCTGACCCTCCTCCACCAGACCCGCCCCCACCTGAACCGCCCCCCGAACCGCCTCCACCTGAGCCCCCGCCCCCAGAACCACCACCACCTGATCCTCCGCCGCCCGACCCTCCTCCACCTGACCCTCCACCACCGGAACCACCACCTCCTGATCCACCTCCGCCAGAACCGCCTCCACCAGAGCCTCCACCACCAGACCCCCCGCCACCAGAACCTCCTCCACCCGAGCCTCCTCCACCCGAGCCTCCTCCACCCGAACCGCCTCCGCCCGAGCCTCCGCCACCAGACCCGCCGCCGCCAGAGCCACCGCCGCCAGAGCCTCCTCCACCAGACCCGCCACCGCCAGAGCCTCCTCCGCCAGAGCCTCCTCCGCCAGAGCCTCCTCCGCCAGAGCCTCCTCCGCCAGAGCCTCCTCCGCCAGAACCACCCCCGCCAGAACCACCTCCTCCCGAGCCTCCACCTCCCGAACCTCCACCTCCCGAGCCTCCACCTCCCGAGCCTCCACCTCCCGAACCTCCGCCACCAGAGCCCCCACCGCCGGAGCCCCCACCGCCAGAACCTCCGCCACCCGAACCTCCACCGCCAGAGCCCCCACCGCCAGAGCCCCCACCGGTAGGCTTCGCGGATGGTGTAGATGATGAGTGCGTACTGGTCTTCGATGGTGGTTTCGAGCTAGTATGTGCACTAGTCCGCGCGGAGGACGTCGCTTGAGTGCTTGAAGCACGATTAGCTGTAGATGTCGAAGACGCCGTCTTGGATGCGGGAGGCGCGCTGGACGTCGGTGGGGGCTTGGATGATGTCGTAGGTGCACTGAACGGCGGGAGCGTGCTCGCGCGGGAGCTAGAAGCCGAGGCCTTGCTCGATGACTGCGTAGCCGCTGATGATGACGTGCTTGAGCTCGCTGTCGAAGACCGGGGCGGCACACTCGAACTCGAAGTCGTAGACGCCGGCGGCGCCTTCGAAGTCGAAGTGGGCGGTGGCGGCTTGGCGGAAGAGGATTTCGAAGGTGGATCCTCCACGGCCGAGGTTGACTTCGGAGGAGGCGCGTTGGTCGAACTCGATTTCGGCGGGGGTGCGTTCGTCGAGCTCGATTTCGGCGGAGGCGCGTCGGTTGAGCTGGTTGCAAGACCAGCCCCATTACCCGAAGTAGACGCCAGTCCGGGACCGTCTGTGTTTGAGGCGAGTCCAGCACCGTCAGTCGAGCTTGACGTAGGCGCAGGGGTTGGAAGACTGCTGGGATGGACGACGGGGCCGTGCCCGAGAGGTGGCGGGGTGAAGTTGGTGGGAAGTACTAACAGTGGCGTGCTTGATGTACTTGTCGTCTTGGGGCGTGGCGGAGGAAAAATCAACGGAGGGAAAAGACGTGCAACGACATGACTCTCGGGCTGAGATACAGACGTGGGTGCTGAATGGGTAGGTTGTGAGTCATGTTGCTGGTGAGGTAGTGGGAGATGTGCCGAAACTACTCACTGGGTATTGCTTCGCCGGATTTTTCGTAAACTTGGTCGTGCGACGGACTGCGGGGAAGAACAGGAGCCATTGTCAACGATATCCACCAGGGATCGGACAGAAAAACCAAGTAGAACTAAACAAATGAGCGAATGTGGAGAAAACGAATGAAAATGGATCGACGTTCGCCTGCGAACGCAAGTGGGGGCAGAAACCAAAGTGAAAGAGGCCCGCACCGTCATGTTAGAGATTCCAGTCCTCTATGTATGATACTTGCACTGCATGTAATGATTATGAAGGCAGAGCGCCGAATCAAGAGATGGACAGGTGAGTGATGGAGATTCATATACGAACTATGATGTTGCGATGTGGGCCTCGAGTGCATGCTGTCATGGCAGGCCGTCGTTGAGCCAATAGTCGGATGAGTCGGTGAATTGAGACCGTTGAGTTGCGACCTCGGTGCCTTCAGGTCCTTGCGTGTCAACATGATGGAACTTCGCCGCAGGTGCCATGTCAACTCAATAATAGAGCTGCATGCGTCATAGAAACAAGGATGCCCAGCCATCAGGAACAAAGTCTAAGCACCACTGAGCATCCTTCTACTTTGCTGCGCCGAATTCCATCTACGCATGTACATCAGCGTCCTGAACATAACAAATACAGCGATTGCCGCAATCGCGAATGATATCGTGTACCCAGTTGGCCTGGACCAAATATCTTGGAGTGCAGTTTCAGATAAAGAATGAACCATGCGTACGTCATTATGTCGTGGAAGCGAAACGAAATCGAAGGCGAGAAAGCACCGCGTCCAGCGCTAATAGTAGTTGATGCGAATCAGCACTTGGACAACGTACGCCTATTAGGAGGGTACACTCACGGGCGTGGTGAGCCCTTGTTTGACGGATTTTTCGAAGTCGGATCCTTGCTTGCTGGATGAGTCCTTATTCGACGAGCCCGTTTTCGACGAGTTTGTGTTCGACGTATCCCTATTCGTCGGGTCCTTCGGCGTCGGACTCTTGTTGGGCGATCACATTTGAGCGTGCACGGGCGAGATATGGGCAGATGTTGATATAGTCCAAGGTTTGGTCGTCGGAGAAGAAGTTGAATGCCCGGCAGTAGACGTCAACGGCACGCTCAAAGCTGGCGGTGATGTCGTCGTTCAACGCGTGCTCGAGCGTGGCGTCGATGGCGGCGTCAAAGGCGTCGAAGATGTAGAACGCATCGATGAAGAAGAACCTGTCATAGACGAAAGGGGGCGTCGTCGTGGATCGAGAGGGCGTCGCAAACGAAGAGAGAGCAGGCGTCGTAGACGGAGAGCTGGGACTCGCGGGCTGGCTCGATGTCGGCGGGACCGAACTCGTAGTCGGAGCCAGAGCAGATGAACTTGAGGTTGTCGCCTGAGGCGATGACGATGCCAGTGACTTTAACGAAGGAGGCACTCCGCGGGCGTCAGAAAATATGAACCATTGCCGGTTCTCGTGAGCGGGGGTGCGCTCGCAAGGGGAGGTTCGCTTGTGGGCGGGGGTCTGGGCACCGAGTACGATCTCGAGCAAGGTAGGAAGAGGCGCGCTGGGGGTGTAAGAAAATAAGATCCATCACCTGTGTTCGGAGGAGGAGACTAGGGAGCCGGTCCGAACTTGAGCATGGTGGGTCGACGCCGTCCTCTTTGTACGCGCGGCGCAAACGTAGTACTGAATCAAAAGATGGACAGAAGGGCGAGCGACGATATCATGGTACGGGCCTAGCTATGCGTACGCGTATCCCTTCTTGTGCACGGTAGGCTGTCGCTGGCCGGTGTCTCAGTAAGTAAATGGGGAGTCGCCAAGCGGTGCCGGAATACGAGGGTATCTGTCAAAAGGATGTGCAATGAAAAAGCGGGTTGATGGGAGTTCCTATAGCGTGGAGGCAGCGACGTGGAAGAGCACGGGTACAGCAACATTGCGACGAAACAAGAAACGGTCGTCACTCACCAGAACAGTCAGACAACGAACAGACTACTTCCATTGGGACGATCGTGTACTTCGGAACTTATTCTGTCGAGCGAGCAACGCCTGAACGCTGCGCAAGCTAGTGATGCGCTGGGATGACGATGATCATAGTAACAAACAACGAAGCGATGCAGGTGTCTTTGACCACGTCCTTCGACGAAACGGTCTCATATCTGGTCCTCCTCTATATGGTTCTAAAGGGTTGGCGACACACATGACACTATAGCCAAGTGGTTACGGCGACAGATTCGAATCTATAAGTACTTATCTGTTTCCCTCTGGGAGCGCAGGTTCAAATCCTGCTGGTGTCGTTTTGATGTTTCTTCTTCCTTCATTTTTAATCTGTCAGCCGTCGTCAGTCGACCAGCATGTCGCTTCTCGCAACGTGTTTATGGTACATGATTTCGATGCATTTGAACATACCGGTACCAGCGTAGATCGTCGAAGTGCGGACTTCGCAACGCTTCGGCCACCCCAGGATCGCGTCGTGAACGCAGAAAGCGTAAAAGGGTCATGGACATAATATTTTATTCAGCCTTCACGACACCATAGCCAAGTGGTTACGGCGACAGATTTGAACGACGGCAGTCTTGCTTCCAGATCCATATCTGTTTCCCTCTGGGAGCGTAGGTTCAAATCCTGCTGGTGTCGCTAGCCAACTGAGCCAGCAGTTAGTTTTTGGCATTTTGCCGTACGACAGATCTGTTTTATCGGTAATATTTGACAATGAGAAGGATTCCTGGATTTCTTTTGCGGAGGAACTCACAATTTGCAAGTACAGTCGAAGTACGGTATCCTCATCGAACTCGCATTTCGATCAGCTATGTACGAGTACATACATTCTGCATCGTCTTCCGAAGTAGCGCTCAAATCCAGACCCACAGAAATAATCCCAGTGCCGGTCTTTCCGATGCTGTCGCAGCGTGCCCGTCTCGGAATCGAGTGGTCCGCAACCCTGTGTACCGATGAACCACAGTCCTCGCAGCCAGCGTGATCCCTCGCCCCCTTCAACCTCTCCCAATCTCGTCGCCCAGCATGACTCACCTTTCTAACCGAGGTGAAGACGGAATCCGGGATGCGCAATGGCGCTGGCTGTCAGCACGCACGACCTCTTGACGTCGGACGGCGTGAAAAGAACAGGCAGAAGCTGGACCGGACGCCGGTACTCTTTGACGCACTCGCGATTCGCCACTGATTGAGAATGGTGAGTCCTCTCCGAGTCGCAGTCCTTGAGCTCGAGTCCCGAGCTAGCGCCCGCTACACCTGTGTGCATGCGGGGAACCGTGGAGCGTGCGTGGCTACGAAGAGACGAGCATTGTAGTGATTCAGCTAGCAATATAAGGAATGAATGAATGAATGTGCTGACTATGATCAGAAGAGAATGTGCAGCTACCAGATTATTTTGGACTCGTATAATCCGCAGCCCACGAAGTGCGTTGCGGAGGGAAGGTCGTTACGGTGCTTCGACTGACAGCAGCGCCATCAAGAATCGACGTGCGTACTTGAGTCCGAAGGATGGCACGCTAGAACGAAACGTCGAGTAACGAGGGCCGTGCGCGTTCACAGGGCTCCAGCTGGTCGACCCCACGCCTCTTGCCTGTGGAGCATCGCACCCGTGCGGGGCCCGCAGGTGCGGCGAAGAAGGCTCGACGAGCGGCGGGGTCTATCGCGTACTGTACCCAGAGAAGCTCGTGTATTCCGCGTAACTTTTGAGCAGCGCCGCCGCCGAGGAGTCTGATCAAGGCGGCGTGTTTGTAGACGATATTCCGGGACGGGGGTGCGATGTTCCCAATCACTGGACAGTTCGGGTAGCGTCGGCAATGGATGTGTCGCGAATAGCGTCTTCGATGTGGAGGACAAGAGACCGTGACAGAGTCAAGGTCTTGTCAACTTCGGGACGAGACGCACGTATGGAGATCTCTCGGCTGATCGTGGCGACATCGATCTCAAGACACTATAGCCAAGTGGTTACGGCGACAGATTCGAATCTATAAGTACTTATCTGTTTCCCTCTGGGAGCGCAGGTTCAAATCCTGCTGGTGTCGTATTCGTTTTTTGTTTACCTTGTGACACGAACGATCAAGACGTTTGATGCACAGACGGTACAGGGCTTACACATATGCACCGTGTGGCATGAACAGCTTCGAGCAGTCATTATCGAAGATATGTAGGTATCCAGCTGGGCTGTGGAGAAAAAATAAAATAAAAAACACACTGCGACTTATCCAACGAAGGCGACACCAGCAGGATTTGAACCTGCGCTCCCAGAGGGAAACAGATAGCAAATTTAATGAGATTCGAATCTGTCGCCGTAACCACTTGGCTATAGTGCCTTGTGGAAAGTATTTCATAGTGCGTACATGATGGCTCGCTCCCCCCCGCAGCCCCTGGCAATTGGAGTTCGGAGTCGACGCTGACGCAACAAGCTGAAAAGACGACTAGCGTTGGGCTACCGGTAATTGAAATATATTGCGTAGGTGTGTAACAGCCTCGACGAGTGGCGCTCCGTTATCCAGATGTTAACAAGGCCAGCGAGGACGTACGTATGCTGTGAAATTGAGCGGTGCCGGATAGATAGCGTTGCTCGATTGACCCGATATTCAGTCCAAGCGGTCGGGCGCTATCATCCACGCTGTACAGACATGCATGAATGCAGAGTGTGCTGCATGTTTCTATGCATCCGGCCACAGTGCTGTGTGAGAACATGAGCGGGAACATAAGGGAAGAAAGAGGCCGTACGAGAACGTTGTAGACGATAGACGAGCTGCCAGTGACAGCGACTCCACGGACGGTGTAGACTTGGGATTGTATGGAGGTGGATACTTGGGATTGGCACTGGTGACATCACGTCACGACTGGCTAATGGGGGACCAACGAGATGACGTAGCGGGGCCGTCATTGGCGTACAGCGCGAAGTACTTAACCTCGCGCCGCTCAACAATTCGAACATCACTTGACTCTATCCACCACCATGTCTCTTCCTCCCGCTCAAAAAAATACCACCGAGAACCCGCCCGCCAACGCCGTCGCAGACCCCGTCGACAAGGCAAAGAAGAACGCCGATGTCGACCGCAAGGTGTGTCTATCTGTCGCGCTTATCGCCTCCCTTTCGCTCACAGGCGCATGTAGATCCGCCTCTACGGCGTGATTGAGGCTCTTCGCAACGGCCGCTATCCCACCAACGAGCAGATCGACCATGCTCTCACCTATGTAGTCAACCACTCCCCCGTCTCCGAAGACAAGCTGTCGCCCGAAGGGCGCAAGCTCATCCAGGACACCCGCGACATCATCGAGACCGCTCGCCTGATGGTGCAGGAGAAGAATTCGGATGAGCTCTTCCAGAACTTCCTCTGGCACACGCGCGACGTGAGCCTCGAGGATAAGAAGAAAGACCCGAACGATGTTCTCCCTGTCGACAGAGAAAAGGCCAAGCAGGACGGTCAAAAAGGTGAGCCGCCGTCTGTCTCTTGCGCGCGGCGGGCATGGCGAGCGTCGTGCGCGTCGCGTCCGAGTTGCGAGCGGGTTGAACGCCGCGGGCGCTCAATTGCAACTTGGTTGGTCTGTAATGACGTCACGCGCCCGTCTCCTTGAGCCGCGTTCTTGGTGTCCCTTTAGCGCCCACGCTGACTTCGTTTGGATTTACAGCCGTCCAACACCTTCGTACCCTCCTCACCCTCATCGCGACCAACTCTGAGGTCCGCAAACTCCTCTCCGACTTCTCTCTCATCGGCCGCGATCTTCTTGCCCGTGGCGCCGCCAAAGCCGCCGACAGCGTCCGTCCCGACCCCGACGCTCTTGCCAACATCGACCGCCCCGCACCCCAGGATGAGTTCCAGACCGCTGGTGGCCAGAAGGTCGGCCCCGATGAGACGCCTGTCGCTGAGGTGAACATCCCTATCCCTGGACACGAAGACGCTCAGATTCGTCACCATCCCAAGGAGGGTACCGAGGTTGAGCACGAAGGCGAGGTTAGGAAAGGCGACGAGGCCGTTCAAGAAGCCAAAGAGCGCGCGCAGGGTACGTCAGACCAGGCTGCCAAAGTGGCCGGCGAGCAGGTCCAGAGCACCCAAGAGCAAGTTCTTTCGTCGACGCCGTGATCATTTGCTTATACTGTGTTGCAGGGAGCTCGACGACGAGAACACCGATCCTGAGATGAAGAAGCAAGGTCTTAAGGCCCGCTTCCAGAACATGAAGGTACGTTTGTCGCTTAGTGGGAATTGCTTCGGGGTGCTGATCGACTGTCGCAGAACGGTCTCACCGATCGTGTTCCCCAGGAGCATAAAGACGCTGCCAACGAGAAAGCCCAACGCGCGCACAAGTTCCTCACAGAGGAGTATTTCCCAGAGGAGCGTCGCGATCAGTTTATCTACCGTGGAAAGAAGGTGACATTTGTCTACTAATACGTATCTATTGACGACGCTGAACCCGTTTCACCAGGTGATCATCGAATGCCAAAAGCACTCCGATTACCAGGAAAGCATCAGGTGGCTCCTCAACTTCGCCGAGGAGTACGCAAGCCACACGCAGAAGGCTGTAGGCGCCGGCAAGCAGACTCACCAGCAGGCGACAGGCGTACGTCTATCTCGATCGCGCTTTTCCCGTCCGATAAGCTGAGACCATTTCCTTGCAGGATCCCGCTTTGAAGACCGCCACTACCGAACTTCGCACGCTACTGGAGCGCTTCGCCAATGGCCAGAGCATGGACTCCATCTTCGACGCCATCAACAGGCTTGTCGAGGATACGCGCAACGACGAGGAGTTCCGAAACTGGTTCCGCGGTGTTGACAGCTACGTCCGCAAGATTCTCCTCGAGCCTGGCTACGTCCTCGAACCTGCGTGTAATACCGAGGGTCGCGAGCTCCGCGAGTCTGGTCGCCGCTTCTACGACGAGAAGTACAAGAGCCACTTCGACGGTCTCTTCGAGACGATTGGTAACTGGTTCCGTGCCATGGGCGAGGATCCGCTTAACAAGCGTTTCGGCGACGACTGGGCGCGGCTCACCAAGGACTTGCTTTTCGACAACGACGGCAGCCTCAAGTTCAAGCCGGAGCTGTGGATGGACATTCGCAAAGTCATCCTTCCGGCCCTCGTCGACCAAGTCGGGTACATCCCCATCCCTCGTGTCGAGTACACCGACGACAGCTTGGACCTCGTCGTCGAGAACCTCACGCTCCAGGGTCGCAATCTGTTCCCCAATATAATCTCCGTCGAGGCGCATAACTACTTCAAGTTCTCGCCCTACAACGCCATCAAGGACGAGAACCACCACCAGTTCACCCTCACGTTCGGCCAAATGCAGGCCGACATGCGCGACGTCGCTTTCTACTTCAAGAAGAAGTCGGGCATTCCCAAGCTCAGCGACTCTGGTCTCGCCGACGTCCTTCTTGGTGGCCACGGGTTGACTGCAACTGTTCACCTGCATTCTTCGGACAAGGACCCGTCGTCGGTGTTCAAGGTGCACGACGTGAAGGTCAAGGTAGACTCGCTCAAGTTCTCAATCCGCGACTCGAAGCACGACATTCTGTACAAGACGCTGCGCCCGCTCGCGACCGGACTCATCAAGAAGCAGATCCAGAAGGCGGTCGAGGACGCGATCACGACCGGGATGGAGTACGTCGACGGGCAGCTCGTCGAGGTGCGGAACCGGATGCGCGAGGCGGGCGAGAGTGACGAGAAGAGCCGGACGCAGGCGCTGCAGGAGCTATTCTCGCGCAAGAAGGACGAGGCGCAGAGCGTCAAGTCGAACAACCGCAACTCGCAGTTCAAGGTCGTCGGCAAGCGCGAGTCGGCGATCATCCCGGATGCGGGCCATGCGGCGGGCTGGGCGAATCGTGCGCAGGAGCGCGTTGACGAGGGAAAGCATGGGAAGGACTGGCGCTCGGATGCGTGAGTGGCTTTTTTTTTTGTTGGTGTTCGCGACGTGTATGCTGACGGGGGATTTGTAGGTTTAACGCCGTTTGAGGCAGACGATTCGTGATACGACCGTAACGATTGGGCTGTACTCTTTCTATGACTCCACGATTTCACGAGAGAAGTGTATGATCCAGCGATGGGCTACTGTATCTTTTCCACCTTCTGTATCCGTGTGTTGGCTTTCGTTACCCCCTCAAAGCGTATCTTTCGTTCGTTTCACTTTCTACTCCTTACATGTTATATCTCGGTATGATAGCGTCAAATAGTTTCTTTCCGTTTTTTGATAATTCTGTAATCGAAGTGGTGTTTTCGGTTCTTTGTGAAGTAGGTCGAGGATCAATCGGCTGGGAGGGCGTTGAAGGCATCGGCTGCCTCGATGGAGGAACTTGATGTCAAAAACGTTGAGTCAGCATGTAGCGCCCAATATACGAATCACTGGGCGCCGTCGAGCTTTCTCTCTGCCACTTCGCTCGCAGCAGCAGCTAATGTGTATCCCCGTCTCTAACATGCGCATACACGCCGTTTACTCTGGCTATGTATTTGCGACGATTTTCTGACGACCCACAGTGCGAGTAAGTCTGCTATCATGCCTCCTCGCGCCTGACCTAGCGCAAGAACTAGCTACCATCCCATTCCATCCCATCAACAGCTATAGTGCCCCAGCTAACCCGTCCATTCAATCCCACCATGCGCCCGCGCATCCATCCACCTGGTCTCGCCCCATCGTGACACCATAACCGTTTGTCGATCAGCGAGCAAAACGACGCCCACCGGTGCCGGGGCATCACGCATCTCGTGTACATATACGCCCGTCGCTGCGCGCTGCCTCTCTTGCTAGCGATGCAGCGCGCGCGCTCGTGCGTTGAGTTGCCGGAGGTGCGATGTGCGTATGGGTGAGTGCGTATATATGCGGTGGGCGCGGTGGGTGGGTGTGGTATTTCTTCTGTTCGTCTCTTCGCTGCCCTCTCCCCTCCTCTCCTGTCGTTTCTTGATTTTGCGCGTTCGCTGGCGGACGTGTTTTTGAATTTGGATTATATTGATTAATTCTTTGTTGTGAAGTATAGCCGTCCAGACGTTCCTCGTGAAGGAATCGAGATATTTGGATTTGTAGGATTTGGCGACCAGCCTGACGATGGCGCCTTTTGTAGTCTTGCGTACGGCGGCGCTTCGTCGATCCGCTCAAGATTCCGACGATCATGTAACAGGTATCCATCCTATCTACTCTCCCCGCCTCTCACGAAGCTGAGCATTTTACTTCTCAAGCCGAAGCTGAAACTGCTCGCTCAGCACCACCCGACCCGCCCCGCGCCCTCAACGCGCGCGAGCCCACCATCGGAGGCGGACCCGTATACCAGCCCAATCCCCTGACGCCCCGAGATCCCGAGCCTGCCACTCAACCATCCCTTCCGGATTTGCTCGC